TGTAGCATTCACTACATGCGTAAATAACAGAAAGGAACAGAGAAAGGCTTCTCTCACTCTGGCTATGAAATCAGTGTGTTTATTAGAGAGGGAAAAAATGCTGCTTTTCTGCCACAAGGTCAACCAAGGCAGCTTGCAAAATATAGAAACAGATACAGCAGAAACCACATTAATAATAAAAACAGTAGGCCATAGAAGTGGAAGAGCCAGGATAACAGAATTCACATGGCAACTGAAGCAACAAAGGCGCAGATAAACAAGAGAGGTCTGCTTGGTGACCAAAGGACAACAAAGACACCAACAAGTGACCATCCCTTTGGAAGGAGCTCCACAAAAGCAGGCGAAACTACCAGAGAAGCCCTGTTGCTGGTAGATGCCTGCCTGACTTCTAGTGGTGGAGGCACCAAGAGAGAGATCCTGGTGAGGATCTCAACTGATGGGCCGGTTCCTTTGTAAAGAAGGTAGTCCTTCATAGACTGTGGTTCCAGGCTCTTGTAATCTCTCACTGAAATTCATACAGAAAATTCTGACACATCCTTGTTTGGGCTGCCAGGGCCCTGCTTCTTGCTGTCACCATTCCAACCTCTCACAAAGGGAGATACCAAACAGGGTCAGCAACAACTGTCACATGAACAACACAGATTTATCAGGAACTTCCCCACATTTCCTAGCCAGGGAACCGCAGAAGTGATGCAACACTAACATGAGAGTTCCTAGGCCAACGCAGCCCAATACTAATTATTAACTGGTGGGGATTCACCATTTCTTCTGTGGGGTTACAGCACTGGCCCCAACTCATTTGACTGAGCCAAAACAAACGGTCTCGCATCCTTTGCTCGGACGTGGCCGTAGCTCAGTGTATAAGAGAACAAGAGGGTCCCTGGATCAAATCTTGCTTCTGCGATACATTTTATTTTAGATATTTACATCCCTGCTTTTTCTCCCAAGCAGGGACCCAAAGTGGCTTACAACACCATCCTGCCTTCTTCCATTTTACCCTCACAACAGACCTGAGAGGTAGGTTAGGCTGAGAGTATGTGAGTGGCTCATGGTCACCCAACAAGCTTCCATGGCAGAGTGGGGATTTGAACTTGGGTCTCCCAGATCCGTGCCCAGCACTCTCACCATGATACCATGTGGGCTTTCAAATCACAGTCCCTCAGCCAAAGCCCACCTTCCCCCATCTGCAGTATGCAAAGAATAATCCTGGCCTACCTTATAGGGATACAGCTGCAAGGACTGCAACAGGATTATGCATGCAAAGGGCTTCAAACCCTCCCCAGCAGCAGTGTTCCCTCTAAGCTGAGTTAGTGTGAGCTAGCTCAGTTTTTTTTAGCCTCCAGCTCACACATTTTTTTTTGTCTTAGCTGAAGAAGGATGGCTCCGGAGCAAACTAATTTATGCAGTAGCTTATTGGCTCACTCACAACTTTAATGCCAGTTGGCTCACTCACAACTTTAATGCCAGCTGAGGAAGGATGGCTCCGGAGCAAACTAATTTATGCAGTAGCTTATTGGCTCACTCACAACTTTAATGCCAGTAGTTCACAAAGTAGAATTTTTGCTCACAAGACTCCACAGCTTAGAGGGAGCATTGCCCAGCGGTGCTAAATGCTAAGTTTTATTCCCATCTAAGGGGATGTCTCATCTTCATCTAGTCAGATCACAGAGAAAGGTGAGCCTTGGCTAACAAACCACTTAATTGGTAAATGCGTAATGCTCAAGACAGCTCACTTTGGAAACATTTCCGGGATGGCACTGGGGTATGGCGGGGGGCCCTTGTCCTCTGACGGCAGCTTCTGATCAACGGTGAACGTGTAGTCATCCACCCCAAAAGACATGAGAGTTGGCAAGAATTTGGTGATCAGGTCGACTTCCTTAGGAACGGAAAAGAAAACAGAAAGTCAGAAACCCTTTCAAGAGCCCCACGGAACGTTCAAGAGTTTCACAACTCGTTCATCTCAGCTCACAGCACTGATCAAAGACAACATGCCCAGGAAAACATGTACAGCAGCAGACTAAGGGACTCCCTTCTGACAGAAGTGTGCACTGCGGTTCTTTGGAGAGCCACAGGTAGGAATCATGACCTATTCACCATGCTGCTGGCGAAAACCCACGGCCGTTTCTGGTGATGAAGACGACTTCATTTGCCGAGGGTGCAGGTGCAAAAGCAGCCGCAAGCGGCAGCACGTAAGTTACAAATGCAGTGGACCAACCAAGGCGTGACCCAGCCATGACTCCGCAGCACAAATGGCGACTGTGCAGACGCAAACCACCTGACAACAGTATTTTGAGGCCAGCCATAAAGCACAGCAGCAAAGTGGTCTGGTGAAGGGTCTCAACTCGTGCGCAAACCAGGAGTTCGATCCAAGGTATGTTTTATTGTTGTTGTTCATCGCTCAGAGCCCTGAGTACTCAGGAATTGAGGGATTTATAAATCTAAATGATAAAACGATAAATGATAAGGTATCACTAGAGCTCAGTTTGTAGGTGTGAAAGGGCTCTTGCTGTAGCTTTGTTAAGTGATGGCCAGATACTGCCCATGTGGGAAGAAATGCGTGGAATCTGTCACTCATGTTCTCCTGCACTGTAATCTGTACATGGACCTAAGGATCACATATTTATATTCTTTTTTAACCAGTATGGGTGCTTGTTCTGATGCACTTAAGGTGCATAGACTTTTAAGAGATCTCAGCCCGGACATTACAGAGAAGGTGGCCAAGTTTCTCTGCTTGGCTTTAAAGCTGCGTCAAAGGTTCTTTTAGATTTTTATATTTGTGCTTTCAACTGGTTTTAAAATGTTTAAATGGTACTGATATTTTATGCCAATAAAGGCTGACTTGACTTGACTTGTTAAGTGATGGGGAAATGCTTAGTAGGATATGAGAACATATGACCATACTTGTGAAAGCAGCTCTTTACCCACTCAGCATCTAAAATTAAGGGAAGATCTGCACCCTCTATTAACCCTATTTCTAACTCTTGAGTCCAGAGATAATCAGGAGAAATTTAGACATATAATTATAAAATATATTAATTTTATTAGATTTATTATTATTATATTATTATTAAATGTCAGGCATAAGTCCACAAGTGTTTACATTTAAGTCTTGTTCCCAGTAATATGGTCATCCTGTGTCTCGGATTTCCCAGTTCCGATGACAGGTGCAGCTGACAACACCATGAGACCCAGGTGTGCAATGGGCAGAGTGCCAGGTTAGGACTGGGGAAACCTGGGTTCAAATCCTCACTCAGCCATGGAGTTCACTGGGTGACCTTGGGACACCCACCCACTTGCGGAGCTGTTGTGCGGATGAAATACGGGAGGGGAGCACTGTGTATGCTTGGATAAAAAGATACGAACATATATGATAGAATGTGCCTCTATATAAAGAAGGGCAAAAATCTGCATGTAGAAAGCTTTTGTTGTTCAGTCGCACAGTCGAGTCCGACTCTTCGCGACCCCATGGACCAGTTCACGCCAGGCCTTCCTGTCGTCCTCTGAAGTTTGCTCAATTTCATGTTCGTTGCATCTATGACACTATCTAACCATCTCATCCTTTGCCGTCCCCGTCTTCTTTGACCTTCAATCTTTCCCAGCATCAGGGTCTTCTCCAGTGAGTGCTCCCTTCTCATTTGGTGGCCAAAGTACAAAGCTAACATGTCAGGAAGAAGGGTTCTAGCTTAGCTTTCTCGCCAATGACAGCTTTCTCCATGCAGTATGTTGGATTTTTTTTAAGGAAATGCAATCAAGTGGACTCCCACTTGCAGACTGACAGCCCAGCTTTAGTGAGCGCTTGGCCTTAGACAATGTAGACAGCTGGGAAAAAAATTACAAATGGCACGTCACCATTTTTGGTTCCTTGAAGATCTGGCTGTCGATCATGTCCCAAGCTCCCTGCCCCAGCGACAGCATTCTCAACAGAAGCAGAAGGTCGGGGCTTTCCTGAATATTTAAGACCAACAAACAATAATTACCGTCTTGTCAAGACTACCTTTACCTGTAGATAAATACGAAACTTCCTTACACTGAGTCACAGTATGGGTCTACTTAGCCCTCTGCTGGCAACAGCCCTCCAACCTGAGATTTCCCAGCCCTCCCACCTGAGATTTTCTAGGCTTTGACCCTTCCTCTAATACAAAGCTGCTTTATACTCAAGTCCATCTATTTCAGTACTGCCTGCTTAATCCGTCAGCAATTTCCCAAGGTCTCAAGCACAGAATCCTGCCAACCTAGCAGTTCGAAAGCAAGAAATTGCAAGTAGATAAATCGGTACCACTTCGGTGGGAAGGTAACAGCGTTCCGTTCGCCTTGGTGTTTAGTCATGCCGGCCACGTGACCACGGAAACGTCTTCGGACAGCGCTGGCTCTTTGGCTTTGAAACGGAGATGAGCACCGCAACCCTAGAGTCGGATTCAACTGGCTTTCGAGCAAGGGAACCTTTACCTTTTTACCAAGCACAGAAAGATCTTTCCCATTGCTGAGATCCTTTTACCTGGAATCACCAGGGACCAGAGGTCATTTCGGGGGGGATCGCGGGGGATCGCAGTTCCCCCGGGTGAGGTACGGGGGGTGGGGCACATGACGAAGCCCCGCCCCCTGCTTCCGGCCGCCCCGCTTCCGGCCCTCATTCAGCCAGGAGGAGGCAGGAGAAGAGGGAGGGTAAGTTGCTTCCTCCCTGCCTCTCCCCACCCCTGCCTGCCTGGGGCCAGGGAGGGCCTTCGCGGGGCTTCCTTGCACTCCCGCCGGCCTTGCAGGTCCACCACCGGGCCCCTCATGGGGCTCGGCAGTGGAGCTGCAAGGCCGCCGGTGGCGGCCGGGACCGTTGGGGGTGGGGTGTGTGGCCTTATGACACACTTCCGGTGATGTCAGGGGGTGTGGCCTTATGACACACTTCCGGTGATATCAGGGGGTGTGGCATATGCTAATGAGTTATGCTAATGAGTTCCCCAACTCTTTTTCTACGAAACGACCCCTGCCAGGGACTGAACCTTGGATGGGCCTCCTTGCATGCATGGCTCATGTCCGGCCACTTGGCCACACCTCCTCCTCTTCCAGTGCAATCGTGAGAAGAGTTACTTCCATCTAAGCCTACTGGTTTCATTGGCCTTAGAAAAGCAGAACTCTGCTCAGGACTGCATTGTTGGTCCTTTAGAGACGTGCTCCACAACTGTGGAGCCTCCTCTCTCGGCCCTCAGTTGTCAGCTGGGGGTCAGCTGGTATTCTGGATCACATTTGACTCTGGTGATGGGAAGTGCTGTCAGGTCACAGCTGACTTATGGTGCCCCGTAGGATCTTCAAGGCAAGAGACAGACAGAGGTGGTTAGCCATTGCCTGCCTCTGGGTGGCAACCCCGGGCTTCCTTGGTGGTCTCCCATCCAGGCACTAACCAGGCCCAACCCTGCTTGGCTGCCAAGATCAGGCAAGCCTGGGCCACGCATTCATTTGACTTAAGGGACATGACGTTGCCAATCCGCTGTTCCAAGCTTCTGATTTCTCAGACTCACCCGGGGTAATAAGTCCTGCCCAATCAGCTCTTGCAAGTGACGGATGGTGCTCAGCGCTAAGGTGTTGATGGCGAACGGGTCACACAAGATCATGGATAGATCCCTTGGGGAGGAAATAAAAACCACAGGAAACTATACAACTGGTAGAGATTCATGGCTTGTGCACAAAAACGATTTCAGACTGCCAGAAAGCCTGGCTTCAGCATACCAGAGTTGATTCACCATCACACTTTTATCATATGGGAAATGTGCAAGGCTAACATTGGCAGGACAGCACTTGGTTACGTCAAACAGTCTACTTCTCGTTACATCGTTACTGTATCCGGTAGCCAAGATCTCACCACCGAGCAGATATAGAATCTGTGCCACATGGCTAACATTTAGAGATGTGAAAACAGACGTGGGAGCTGCCCAGGAGGGACTATTAGATTTAGTAATGATGAGAAGGAGGAGGAGAGGAAATTGGAAAGTTTACCGGGGGGGGGGGAATGTTGGCAAAAAGAGAGGGGAAGGTGATGGCAGGGGAATGGGGAGAAGACAGTGAAGTAAAGTCAGAAATCCAATTTCCTCTCCTGCACAAATCTCCCTCTCATCAGTACTACATGTAACAGCCCCTCCTGACAGCTCCCATGTCTCACCATACATCTAAGCTAACCAGCTCTACTGCTGGCAGACATAAGACATTTGCTTATGAGTAGAATACATGGCAAATAGGAACTGACCCCATGCCCGCTCCCAGAAACATCTCCCCCACCCTTTAGAAAGTCTCTTAATATCCAGGCTGAATTGCATAACTCGAAAACTTCACTGAGCCAGTCCTATGAAAGATGTTTATCTGTGAATTTCAGCACAATGCAATGTCCTGGCTAGTATGCAAAGTCAGGCCCTGGGCCACCTGTTTAGACAGCTCACCCGAGGACTTGTTCTTGTCCTTTCTTCACTCCATCTAGGAACCCCTGAAGCTCTCGAGCACGCTTGTTGTCTACAAACTTCTCTCGAATGCAGGCATCCAAGCACCAGGTAAACTGTCAAAAAGTGGGGGGAAATTCACTCACAGATATTCACTCTTGCAGCAGAGTGTACGATTCCCTTATCTACTGCACAATAATATTTCACATGCAATTTTTTGTTTTGTTTATGTGGGATCTCCCCGGCTCCTCTCCTTCCCCAGCTAGAGGGCTCTGAACTGCAGAAAACCAATGACATAGGAGGCCAATCTGTAGTTCAGCAGCAGAATACATGCTTTGCGTTTAGAAGGTCCCAGCTTGGATTCGCCCCCCTCACTGGCCCGTATATTCTGCAGAAAGACCTCAGGTAGCTGAGCCAGGTAAGACCTCTAGCTGAGACCTTGAAGGGCTGATGCCAGCCAGGCAGTCAGGCCGTTCTGAGCTGGATGAGCCAGTGATTTGACCTGGTGTAAGCCAACCGTCTGCTCAACCTTTCCAGACCTGAAACCAACAATAGCTCAGAGGTTTTCTTTCCACTAGCCAAAAGAAACTGAGCTGAAACATTTACTGGGGGAATACCAGTGAAGCACACTGAGAGTGACTTAAATGGTGTGTGCCCAAGATGGATTTCATACACGCTTTCCAGGAACAGCTACCTGAAAAAAACTGAGCTACAACTCGGGAACATCAGTTTAGCTCATGGGTAACCACAACTGCTAGAATACTGTATGCTAAGCATTGGAGATTAACAGAGGCACCTTCGAAACAAGAATTTTTAAATAAGATGTTAGAAATGGCGGAAATGGACAAATTAACTCTGACTTTGAAAGGACAACCAGTGTATTCGAGAACACACGGTCAAGATTTTGACAGTGGTTTGAAGATCATCCCAAGTAATTATCAGCGTCATTAAAACTGTGTTAAGGACCTTTATTATGGAAATAATATATTTTTGCAAGTGATATGGCTATTGTTATAAGGCAAATTATACACATTTATGTTAAATCAGGCATTAATATGATATTGGAAAATCAGAAACTGAATTTCCCCCTTTTATTTGTGTTTGTATGTTGAAAATAAATATATATATATATAAAAAAAGTTTAGCTCATGGCTGGGGTTTTCTTTATAAAGTGTAACTCCATGGCTTTTAGATCAGGACAAGAAGACGAACCCGCAATAGTCGTGGAGGGTATTCCCCCCAGCTCCCCTCCTACAGAAACAGGAGGACCTCAGGGCCGAGGAGGAAGCGGCCACAGGTAAGTCCCCCCCCCGGCTCTGGCGGCGAGGCCTGAGTGTCTTCCAGCCGCCGGGCCCGTCGATCCCCTCCCCCCCAGCTCGAGGACTGAGCAGCTTCAAGCCGCCGGCCGCCCTCGAGTTCCCAGAGCGTTCCCTGCGCATGCACAGGCAACGCTCTTTTACTTTTGGAGGGATTTAAATATCCCCCGTATACTTTTTTCAACTTTTTAGATTTTTCTGCACACCTGGAGACTACTCCAAGTGTACAGGAAAATCTCCCTGCCCCCCAGGTGCCCCGATGTGCGGATTTAGATATCCGCACAGAGGGGGCAACTTGGCTATTAGATATATAGATGGGTAGCCATGTAAGTCTGTCTGTAGCAGCTGAAAAGAGCAAGAGTCCAGGAACACCTTAAAGACTAATAAAATATATGGCAGGATATGAGCTTTCGTGAGTCACTGCTCACTTCTTCAGATACAGCTGTTGGACTCTTGCTCTTTTCCATGGCTTTGGTTCGTAAATGTGTCATGACCCCACTCTGAGAGTCCATTTATGCGGAGAAGAAATTATTCTAGGAAAGAAAGAAGGAATAAACCAGCATCACTTCGAAACAAGGGCATTTTGCACCCGCAAGCAGCTTTGAGAGCAACTGTGGGCTTGGCCCCGGCGGTGGTACCTTGTGGCAGGGGTCCACTGTACAGATCTCACTGATGTCCAAGTCGTGCAGCGACATCAAGAGCTCGGCCCGCAATGTGCAGTAATGGACATTCCGTGTGCGGAGGAACAAGGTCCTCAGGAACTGCAGGACCATGTCGTAGAGCTTCACATTCTTCCCAATCATCTGCGTGAGCTTCTGAACCACCTGCGCCCCAGAGAAAGACCAGAGACCTCCGGTGTCTGAGCAGCTTCCCACAGCAGTGACTTCCCTCCAAAAACACCCATTTAAAACACCTGCCCAAATAATTGCCAGAGGTGCATCTGGCCTTATAACAGAACTTGTTTACTGAGTGTCATGTTACGCCACTCCTCCAACATTCATGTGGCATTTTATCAACCTCACAGCAGTCCCGGGAGTCGGCTGGCAGCCCAGGGCTGCCAACGTTCTGCTGTTCTGGTGCCTTGATCTTCCCCTACTTGGTCTCCAGCCATCAGCAGCTGGCAACACTCACCCCCGTGCGATGAAAAGCTTTGCCTGGCGATTTCTGCAGGACAAACTAAAGGCACCAGGGTAGGTCGGGCTGTTTTTTGACGAATCAGCTGGTGACAGTATAGTTGCTAGCAGGGGTCATTTTGTAGAAAAAGAGGTGCAGGAGCTCATTAGCATAACTCATTAGCATAACTTATTTGCATATGCCACACCCCCTGACATCACCGGAAGTGTGTCAGAAGGCAACACCCACCACTCAGGTGCCACTGGACTATTTTGGATTGCTAGCTATTGGGGGGTTGCGAACGTGCAGATCTGTCCTCACAGAGAAGGGAGGGCTTGTACCTGAATAAAACTTGGTCTTAAAGGTGCCACTGGACTGTTTTGGACTGGGGGGCTGGGGGGGAGCTCTGCGACTTACCTAGCTGCTTCTTGCTCTGACTGAGGGCTGCTGGGAGCAGGGGGTGGAGCTTGTTGCATGTGCCCGCTCCCTGGGCTCTTTACTGCCGGAGCTCCGCTCCTGTGCGCTCCTGCAGGAAATGACCCCTGGTTGCCAGCAATGGGGGGATGGGGACACTGGAGCAGCTTGTCTGCTTTCTTTTGCCACCTTCTTAGTGCTCTGACTTGCTGGATTCAGTAGCCACAACTCTGCCATTCTGCCAAACCATATTTAGCACAACCCTGCTCCAATCTAAGGTCTATGGTCCTGGCTTGCTGGATTATCACAAACCGTGAATTGTCAGTGGTTCAGTTCAGATATACTGTGAAACACTTAAAAAAAAATTAGGGTTGGTTTGTGAAATCAGGATGTCTGAGGGAAAGCTTTGGAACAAAATAACTTGAGACACTTGCTGGGATAATTAATTTTAATTCAACTCTGAGACCCTTAGGTGTTTTGTATACACTTCATTAGGGGGATCTCTAAAATAACATCGTCTGAACAGTTCCCACAGCAACAGTGTTTGAGCGAAACATAACTGTCCAGCCCCATGATATTGTAGAGATTCCCCAAGAGGAAGCACATGCGGAATGTGTAGGGGGTCTCAGAGCTGCATCAATTGTCTCTTATTGTTTGCTCCATGCTTGGTGTGATCTTTTCTTGCTAAGAAAAAGCTTGGCTATGGTTCAGAGGTAACTTTCTACTGACTGGTAACACTTGCAGAGCCATAAACGCTAAAGATCTATTTGTTCATGAATCTTCCACCTCATCCACTTTGAGCTCAGGCCCGTAGCAAGGATTTTGTGGCTTGTGGGGCAATTTTTTTTCTGGTGGGGCTGGTAGGGCTGCCATTATTTATGTCAGGTCCAATCTGCCTGCAAGCCCCACTGCCAGCAGCCTCCCTTTCCCTCTCCTCCTGCAAGATTTAAAGGGTCCTTCAGTTGATTGATGGAGAGCACGTGGCCCGCTGATCAGCTGGAGGACCCTTTAAATCAGGGGTGTCGAACTCATTTGTAATGAGGGCCAAATCTGACATAAACGAGACCTTGATGGGCTGGGCCATGTGTGTCATAAAATGTAATGCCAGGTAGCGGAGATATATAAACTTTATAAAGCACACAAACACAAAGGGTTTTTTTTTACTTGAAATAAAAACATTAGCACTCTTGCAATATTTTGTTTATTTAACAGTGTCTGATAACTGACACCTCTTGTTCTGAATGATTGCATCAAAATGTCTGTGCTGCTGCAATCTTGAGTATGCTGTTCAGGTGTGTATCTGTAAGCTGCAAACCTACGATGATGCAGCAGCAGCAGCAGAACTGGAAGAAGCAGCAGAAGACAGCCAGGTCCCACTGCGGGCCTGATAAAAGCCCTCCGGGGGCCTGATCCGGCCCCCGGGCCGCATGTTTGACACCCCTGCTTTAAATCTTGCAAGAGGGAGGGAAAGGGTGCATGCCATCCTTTGCTTCTTTTCAAAAGCATTTAAAGGATCCATTTAAATGCTTTTGTGAAGAAGTGCAGGGGCATGTGTGTGGGCCCCACCCCCTCCTCAAAAAAAGTCTTCTCAACAAATCTTGTGGGGCTGGCCATTTAAGGAAGGGGCAGGGCCCCCAATAGCCCCACTGTAGCTATGGGCCACTTTGAGCTCGCATTTCATAGCCAAGCAGGGATCAGAACCAGGGTTTCCAACCTAAATGTTCCAGTGTACCAAGCTGGCTCTGATTCTTGGCTCTTACCTCTCCCTGGCGCCTCATTTTGGGGGACGGGCTGAAGAAGTTGTGCAGGACAGAGAGGTCGCTGCTGAACAAAGTGTTCTCCTTCTCCAGGATGTACTGCTTCAGTAAGGGGGACACCTCATCGCCAAACAGGGCCTGGTTATCCTGCCAGATCTGGCGCTTCACTTCCATGGCGCACGCTTTGTACAGATCCTTGTCCGCCATCACAAGCTTCAGCTTCTTCTCAGGAACCTGCAGGCGGCCACAGAAGGTGATTGGGAACAGCTGAATGTCAGCAAAAGTCAGCCCCTGAACCTAACCTTCAGCAACAGCATCCCTTAACAGAGACTTGGATTGTTTTGGTCCTAGTACTCTTCCGCTACTCCAAGTTGCAGGTGCTTTGATTTCCAGGATGTCGGCCTCAGAATTTACCCAACTACAACAAAACCCTGACGCCGACCCTCTCAAGACTGCTGCTACTGAGAAAGGTTTGGGCTGGAAAAACCCTAAAGGCCCAGCTGCCATTGAGAACAGAGGTTTTCAAACTTTCTGTGGAGCCCTGGCGTTCCTTGGAAACTGAGCACGGGTTCCTCAATTTCAAGACCACTAGTGGCAGACCAGCTCCTCTGAAAGACACCTTGCCCTCCTTTGTTAATTTCCCACTGTGACATCCAGCCAATAGGAAGCACTGGCTGTGTTTTAGGGAGGCCAACAGAGATAGCCAAGGGCCCTTTTTATCATGCCTGCATCCACCTCCAATAATGAGCTCCCGTCCTTCCGCTTTCCAACTGCCACCAAGGAGGCCATCAGAGGAAGGAGAAGCAGCATCCAGGCTCTCACCAAGCCAATATCCAGATCCCGATTCCTTCCAAAACCCCAGCATGAGGGCCTAGCTGAGAAGCCTCTCACTGAGTACTTTTGTAATGGGGGGCTGAAGAGCAGGGCAAATAAGCAGATTAATAAAACAAACAGGATCACTACTTCTGTAAAACTGTGGGACACTCTGCCCCTAGGATCAAGCACAACTGTGCAACTTTCAGAGCTAGAAATATAGGTTTTTAAATAGACTTTTTAAGAATTCTATACCGGACACTGATTTCTGTGCCTGGGTAGTATGCAGACAGTGCTGAATAAGATGCAGCAGCAGCAAAGATGAAATGGCGGCCATTGCAGTCTCTACCTTGGGCAGATGTTTCATGACGCACATCACCACGGGCTGTATGGATGGCATCTTGACCAAGGGGAAGCTCTTCTCCAGGAGATCTTCCAGCTTTTTGTACCTGGAGTGTGCAAGGGCAAAGGCTGTTTTAGCAGTGCTGCAAATCTGATAGGGAGACAAAGCCATGGTCCCGTCCTGATGGGAAAACGTACCTTCCAAACCATGGTCTGGCTAAACCGTGGTTTATTCTGGTGACCAAACCATTGAACCATAGTTGAGAAGTGAACAAATACTATCAAACAATGAGTTAAAAAAATGGCTTGCTAATAACAGTTTGGACAAGCTGGGATTTGGCATGAGGTCTGCATCAACACAACTCTCCTCTTCCTTTGGGTGCTCCCTGACCATGGAGAAGCTATTCTAGAGCAAGCAGAAGACAAACCATTCCGACAGCTCTCAGCGGCAGTTTGCCGAAGCGCCCCTTCCTCCCCCCTGCCCACATCCTTGCTTCCACCCCCACTGCTGCTTTCAAGTTAAAGAAAATGACCATCTGGAGATCTGATCAGTGATCTGCTGTAGCGCATATGTTTCATCCATTATGCTACAAAAGAATCCCCCCAATAATTTATTATAGCATGCAGTCATATGGGAAAGCACATGGGCAGGGAGAAACAGTTTGGGACAGCATCCAAGGATTCTGAACAGAGAAGGCCAAAGAGGCAAGAAACACAAACCACAGTGTGCTGTGTGTACGTCTCGGACACAAAACATGGGTTGGGACCCAAATTATGGTTAGCAGCTATTATGACATCTGAACCACACATGCTCCATTGCGGTATTAAGAACACACCTTTCTTCAGCCTTTCCTTCGGAGGCAATAGCAGAGACTCTTTCCAGCAACTTCTCTCGCAGCTCATCAAACACAGACTGGTGGAACTCCAGCCGGGGTGTGCCATGGAGGTCCAGGAATGGCAGAGCAGACTGGAGAGAGGGCAGCAGGATGCCATTTTCTGTCTGTCAATATTGCATGGTATTAAGACATTTGGCAGAGAATAGTTCATATATTTCTAAATAACCACAATGAGGGACAATCTAAACATATGGTGTGGCTTTCTAGGACAGAAGATATTTTAGACTAGGAGACAGGAACAGCTCATGCTCAAATGCCCCCTTGGGAAATATCCCGCAAAATGTAGAATACTAGCATGGAGTAAAGTAAAGTTCTAGACCAGCGAGAAGTGCTAGTTTTGTATGTGTGGGGAGATATTTATTTATTTATTTATTTAATAGCTTGCCTTTCTTACCAAAACTCAAAGTGGATTACAGAATTTTTTAAAATGCAGCTTTACAGCATAAGACATCCAATGAACTGATAAAAAACGTGAAATTCTCCAAATCTGTATTTAAAAATTAATCAGCCCCTCCCCCAGCAATATTATGCAATTCTGCTGCATATAGATCTGCTTAGGACAAGTGTTCAAGATTATTTGAGTTGATAAATTGCCTGTGGGCACATTCCAGATCCAAAATATGTATCTTTAAGTCAGCCCAGAGTAAGGGGCAAATCTTGGAATGGGAATTCACATTAAAATTCAATTTGAATGTACCTAAAGCACAGCAGAGATTGCAATGGACAACTGGATACAATTACTTTCCCCCTGCATTTCTTAAAATCTCCCCCCCACACACATACAGCTCATAGTGACTCTATGAGACACTGGAACCTCCATCTTCTATAAAAACTATCAAGAGTCTTGTGGCATCTTTAAAAAAAACAAAAACCAGCCATCCCCATGTAAATGCACAAAAATGGAAATACAGCAAATGCAGTTATACAAACAAATAAAAAGAATACTCTGTCGCACTGTGCAAATCACACTTGAGACTACTGTCTTCTTATACAATTCTACTTACAACCAAAATTAATACACATAACAAATAGTTTTGCCACCATGCATAAATGACAACTGCACCAGTTGAATAGTGACCTAATAGTCCTTGAAAGGAGTGGCGACGGCAGGGCTAGGTTGTTACTAGCTACTTGTCATTTTGAATCTTGCCAGAGCTGGGTTGCGCTCCATCACTAAGAAAAACGGCCTGATGACGCCCTAAGAAATGGCAAAGCAACCTAGGCGTGCCATCGCTGCTCCTTTGGTTCGCATTACAGCTAGTCTTGAGCTCATGCCATCTATTGCATGCTTTCTTCTGGAAACTCTTCTCTGCACGAAAGGTGACCACATCAATCTGAAGAGAAACTTGTACTTTCAAGGACTATTAGGTCACTGTTCAGCTGGTGCAGTTGTCATTTATGCATGGTGGCACCACTTTTTGTAATGTGTATTAATTTTGGTTGTAAGTAGAAATGTACGAGAAGACAGTAGTCTCAAGTGTGATCTGTACAGCGTGACAGATTATTCTGTTTATTTGTTTGTATATCCCCATGTAAACGGACTCATAGCTCAGTGGCAAAACATAAGCTTTGCACGCAGCATGTCACAGGTTCAGTCCCTGGCATCTGCAGTTACAGCTAGTAGGGGCTGGAGAAGATCCAACAAAACCAGAGCTAGATGGATTGACAGCAGCTTTGTATCCTGACAACTGTCGCCACCCATCTGGAGTACCAGGATCCTCCCATGTTCATATCCATTAACACTGAGGGGTGAAGTTGACTCGACTTCTCTACCTGATACCAGGCTTAACTGGACGCTTGAGATCCAAAAAGACAGACTTGGATAGTAAGACGGAGAAGGCAGTGGATAACACATTAACATCCTCAACAACTGCAACACGTTTTCAGATAAAAATCTCATCGGGAAATGTTTTCTGAGTCATACACAGGGGTCATTTCCTACAGGAGCGCACAGTAAAGAGCCCAGGGGGTGGGCACATGCAACAAGCCCCGCCCCCTGATCCCAGCAGCCCTCAGTCAGAGCAAGAAGCAGCCAGGTAAGTTGCAGAGGCCCCCGGTCCAAAACAGTCCAGTGGCACCTTTAAGGCCAAGTTTTATTCAGGCCCAAGCTCTCCCTCCTCTGCCAGGGCAGATCTACACGTCCCCCCTCCAATAGATAGCAATCCAAAACAGCCCAGTGGAGCCTGAGCGGTGGGTGTTGCCTTCTGACACACGTCCGGTGATGTCAGGGGGTGTGGCATATGCAAATAAGTTATGCTAATAAGTTATGCTAATGAGCTCCTGCACCTCTTTTTCTACGAAATGACCCCTGGTCATACATATCTGTACCTTTGAACATTTTATTCTACTTTTTGTTCACTTCAGTTCTCCCTTGACAAACGGCCAATGTGGAGTCCAAACTGACCGGAATAATTGCCTCTCCAAATCGATTTCTGTAGCTTACTACCAATTATATCCTCCCGGACCTCTAATGATTGGGCGCTAACACTCTTGCAGTGCTAGTCCGACAACTGAAACAGTTAAACAGGAGTCCCTTCTCTGTCAGATGCGCAATTTAAACAGTGTGGCGTCTAGGACTTGAGCATTTGAAGTTTCAACTTCACAGTGATCGAGGGAGGGGCGGGGAAAAAGAATCAGTCAAACGGGGTTCTAACGGAATAATTCTCTGCATGTGTATTATTGCAAATAAAAGGGCATTGTTCCTTCACCTCCTCTGCAGAGGCACCGACCCCAGGTTCAGAGGCAGAACTTCCAGCCCAGAGGGTGCGCCTACCCAGCAGAGCTGACATTGACGGGCAATATGGTGGGGCATCTGCCAGAGCTTGGCACAGGGCCCATCACCAGAGATGCACTCATCAGGAATGGCAGATCACCCCCAGAGGCCTGTGCGATGCCACAGGGACCTCGGGAGCACTCACCCATTTCACACGGAGGAAGAGGCATCTGGAGGGACCAGAGTGTGATTCTGCTGCACTCCTTTAACTGTGGCAGTGCTGATGGGGGCAAAAGCGGTGTGAAAGGATCATGCTCTACTCCACCCTCCAGGAGAACGTGTGTACGAAAACACAAGCCAGGGAAGAAGGTTTAGTGGGGGGTCGCTGGAGGGCCTTCCAAAATCTGCTGCCAGCCCCAGAGGCCCAGCTTTTCTCTGGAATTTACCCCCGTGCTTAATTTCTCTCATTTAAGGGAGGCAGCCATATGGGTCCATTGTGGTAAAACCAAAGGAAAAGACCTTAAAAGATAAGCAGAATTAGTGGGGCACAAGTCCGTGAGAATGAGAGCCCACTTCATCAGATGCTTGATGCGTGATCCCTGTTGGCAGCCAGACACTCATGGGCATAGAAGGCAACATGAAGTCAGACAGCAATGAAATGCAAAAGGTACAGACCTGAGATTTGTATCTTACATGCATTTAGTTTTTAAAGATGCGGCAAGGCTATTTTGTTTCAGCGCCGGGGCATCCCTTTTGCTGCAGAATGAAACACTGCCGATGATCAATCACAGCTGAAAGTACAGAAGCCCCTGTACTTCTAACACCCACACTCACTCTCCAAGGATAAGAGCCGGAGTCCTGCCCTCCCACCCGTGCTATTATACATCACTGGCGGTTCTCCTCTGCCTGCCATATGCAGTATTCATTTATTCTCCAACAGTCTGCCCTGCACTGGCTTCCACTTGAATTGCCAACAATGATTTCCATTCAAAAAAAATTTTTTTTAATGCTTAACAGAAGATTTTATCTTGCAAAGGATCTGGTTGTATTTATTACAGAACAAACTCGGGGGGCCGTTGAGGAATTGAAGTGGGGAGGGGGAGTGGCAGTTCTCTCACACAAAATCTCCCATTCCAGGATTCTCTAGGGCACGAAAAGGCTGACTCCACCCCACCCGACACTCAGCATTCTGGCCCATCTAGAGCATGCTCAGCCCTCACTGGGTCATGTTTTAAGGTTTTTTCCTCTCTTTTGGTTAATTTACATGGTCATATTTTTCTGCATACCTGAGGAAACCACCTACATTAAGAATAGACCCCAAATAGCCTGGGGATGTCTTGAATTCACTGCTTTTGCAATTGGCATGGGGCCTTTCCATTTTACTTCTGACACAATGGTAGTCTCTGCATTTAAAAACATGTTTGGGGTGGAGAGAAGCTGGCATGCTTAGTGTGTGTGGTACGCTTTTCAAAAGGCATCCCCAAATCTGCCACCAAGGGACATAGCAGGGGACAGTAGCGTGTGTCACAATTTGCTACAATGTGAACAAGCCTGGACTTCCTTGGGCTTCAAGAACCCCTTCTACTCCACACACAAACAGCTGACTATCTGAAGAAGTGAGCAGTGATTCCTGAAAGCTCCTACCCTGTCACATATTTTGTTAGTCTTTAAGGTGCTACTAGACTTTTGCTCTTTTCTACTGCTACAGACAGACTACCACAACTACCCATCTTGATCAACCTGCTAATTAGTTATTGCTGCTTTCACAAGAGAATATGGACTTCCTTCTTATCTAACCTAGCAAACCATGACTTGGGCTTTTCATTACAGAAGATTTCCAAAGCACAGGACTGAACTGGTTTGCAAGGAAATTTTTTTTAATGAACCGTGCCACCAATCTACCGCTTCCCGCCAAGCAATTGTCCCTGGAAAATTGGAGTATAATAAACACCAACCGTTGATTAATTTCTACATGCTTTGGTAGCTAGGGATAAAGTGAAATTAAGGAATTTGGTCACTGTAATTAGCCTTTTATAATACTAATTACTTACTGTCCTTCCAGATGCCTAAGGGATGGCAGAACCATAAATCAAAGAGACCAGTCTTACACGTCTACTACATATTTATCTCACCAAGCCAGTTTTCACGGCCGAGTGGAGATCTGAACATGGATCTCCACAAGTCTTACTCCGACACTCTAACCCCTACACTTGCTGGCTCTCCAAAGAGGAGGAACAAAGATAAATAAAAGAGAGAGAAATGGAGTTTATGATGACCTGGCAGCTACACAACTCCTACACCTCCATTTCACAGCTGAAACACTGATATTCTTATATACTTCTAATCAATTTTCTCAGTTACTTCCATTGTTGGTATTTTGGCTACGAATACCCCCACTCAGCAATCTTGAACCAATCACTCTTTTTCAGCCTAAACTATCTCTTAGGGTTACTGTGATGATACAGTGGACAAAGCCACATCCATGTACACTAACGTGAACCAGCTGGAGAAATGGGGTACGACATGTGAATAATAGCATTAGCATTCTTCCAGGGTGTGTTTGGAGGGTATGCACTCACTAACATTGCTGGAGCAAAGTAGACCTGGTCAGTGTCTGAACAGGATAAGTTCTAGGAACTATATGCAATAAATAAATATCAGCATCATGTTGTAGTTAAGGGACTAAGCTATGATTCAGAATGCTGCTGGTTTAGATGTCATCTCAGCAACAGACAAGCAGCTGAGTCCCTTTACCTGCGCTATGAGGATAATAATACTGCCCCCCTTTACAAGGCTGTTGTAATGATTACAGTATGCAGAAGTACTCTGAACACAGAAGGAGCTATACAAATGCTTGATGATTATTAATACTGCATGCACACATATGCACTACTGCTGGCTCTTCTTTGCCTGTCATACACAACAACTGGTCTTACACAAACCTGCAGTGTTAGCAAGCCAACTATAATCTTTTCCTTTAAAAAAAATCCCTTTTTGAAGCCATGAATCTGGTTATACTCATAGAATGCTGGCTGCAACCCTACTAGTATTTGAATAAGCCCTTATGTGGGAGGGGTGGAAGCAGAGATGCCAGCCTCCAGGTGGGACCTGGGGATCCCCTGGAATTATACCTCATCTTTATACTACAGAAATCAGTTCCCCTGGAAGAAATGAATGCTCTGGACAGTGGACTGTCTGGCAGTTCTATCCCCAAATCTCCTGGAGTTTCCCAACCTGGATCTGGCAACACCACCCTCCCATGTCCCACTGGTGGCTAGTGGGGACTTGGCAACCCTAGATGGAAGGATGTGCACACTAACAAGCCTTTATACCTAGCCTACACCAGTTCCTCAAAAAACACAACCTATACACGACCAGGTGTCAGAAATTAGGAACAGTTGGAGGTTATTTTCCTACTTGGATAGACCTTTCCCACAGACCAGCCCTAACTTATAAGCATGGCAGGGTACAGAGGGAAAGGTGGATGGCTATGCTTTGTATTTCCCTAAGAGGCAAAAGGGTGAAAACACTCTCCACAGGCTCAGAGGCACCGCCTTCTTTACGATATTCAAGGTTGGAAAAAAAAATCACGAAGGAAATGGGGCTGTTGGGGAACAACTCGGGATTTCGTTGCGGCGGATCTCCATGGCAACGAGGCCAACCCACCTGGAACTGCTCGATGGCCTTGAGCGGCTCTGTGCAGTTGGTCAGCGTCTCCTTTAAGTCCTCCCCATTAGCCACCCCGAGCTCCTGCAGCCCAGCGAACATGGTGCGGGACCCGACTCCGGGGTCCAGCCCCGAACTACAGCAAGCGCTGCGGTGCCTCACCGGAATCATCCCCCAGAAGCGCCGCCATGCAGTGAGTTATGTTGTTCTCCCGGAAACCATTTGCCCAGCACGGAAGGTTCCGCTTTAAGGTTATAGGAAGGGTTTCCACACATCGCCCCCTCTCCCATCATTTAATTGAGGCAGTAAATCAAGTTCTGGCAGGACAGCCATTGTCTGTCGTTTGAAGGAAAAAGCACACACAACACAATTAACATAATACCTTTTAGGACCAGTCAAATGACACATAACATTGTGCAAGCTTTCGAGGTTCACCAGGCTGGAGGGTTTTTGTTTTTTTTAATGCTTAAAAAGAGTAAAGGGAATCCTTCACGACATGAGGGTGAGTTGTGGTCAAGATCGCATGGTGTGCAGAGCTGCTTCAAATGGTTCTGGCTTCTAGTTACACCCAGCTCTTTTGAGCAAGAGGCAGTAAATCAGTTAAACTTCATAGGCAAACCATTAAACTTCAGGTTGGCTTGTCAAAAGATGAAGAATTCATGTGTGTGGGACGGCACTTATCTGTGCATATCCACCCTGCTAGATTAGAGCTAGATTAGTGTTTGTTTATTAAAAATCTACCCGGCCCCTCAGCTCTAAATTTATGAGGTGGCCTCCTGGGGATAGCTAAATGTTTAGTTCCATCCAATGTTTCCTGTGGAGTCTTGTGAGCAAAAATTCTATTTTGTGAGCTACTGACATTAAAGTTGTGAGAAAGCAATTTGGCTACTGCATAAATTAGTTTGCTCTGGAGCCATCCTCTTCCTGAGTGGAGACAAAAATCTGTGAGCCGGAGGCTAAAAAACTGTGAGCTAGATCACACTAACTCAGCTTAGAGGGAACACTGGTTCCATCCTACTTTTCAAACAACTGTTCCAAAGCAGCTCATTCCAATACAGATGGGCCCAGCTAGGTTTTTTGTTTTGCATGGAGGTGTTTTGTTTCTTCTTTAATCTGAAGGATCTAACAAGAACCCATCATCCGTAGGGTTGCCAGCTCTGGGTTGGGAACTACTTGGAGATTTTGGGGGTGGAGTCTGAGGAGGGTGGGGTTTGGGGAGGAGATGGACTTCAGCAGCGTATAATCCCATAGAGTCCACCTTCCAAAGCAGCCATTTTCTTCAGGTGAGCTGATCTCTGTTGCCTGGAGATCAATTGTGACAGTGGGAGATCTCCAGCCACCATCTGGATATTGGCAACCTTAATCGTCTGCAGTTTGTTCTATCCCCTTTGCATTCTGCCTCCTCAAGCCCTTGCAGGTACCAAACTAAAAGAATGAGGGTGGGAAGTAGAGTTGTCAGCTCTTGAGATTTGGGGGTGGAGCCGGGTGTTTGGGGATGGAGCCAGCAGGGGTCCGCGGCTACAGGCAGGAGCTTAGCTCCTCAAGACAATAGGAACTGAGGATCCTAGTTCCCCCAGCACGGACCAATAGGAACTATGGTGGGAAATTCAAACCCCCCCAATGGGACTGTGGGTGTGCTGGGTGGGTGTGTATATAGTTGGCCTTGCAGGGCCGTTTTGCAGTTCGATGTTAAGTACAATTAACGTGTGCAAACACATGTCGTCATCCGAGTCCTCCATGCTGCGAACCCAGTACTTTTCACCAGGGGAGTGCAATATTTTGGGAGGGGAGGGCCTCAGCAGGGAAAAATGCCACTAAATCAAGCCTCCAAAGTTGTAATTCTGGAGATTTCCAGGCCCCACCTGGAGGTTGGCAACCTTACTGGGAGGCAAGGACCTCTCCCAGCCTTTAGCTGGCTCAGAATAAGTCTTTATATTGGTTCCACCCTTCATGCTCCGAAGACTTCCATTGTTGTTCTCCAGGCTTCTTTGTCTCCATCTGTGCTCTGGTTATATATTTCTTCTTTTAAAAAAAGCAAATCCTACAAAAAAATGCTCCAAGATTCCAATGTTCTCTCCTCCAAAGGGGAGCACCCCAAGTAAGTGCTGGCCCTGGAACGTCTTATTGTTCTGAAAACTGGGGTGTGCATAGGGACATTATACCATATTGTTTTCATCCTGATACCTAAAGGCGGTGGTTCACAAATTGTGGGTCAAGATCCAAAAGTGGGTCATGACTTCCTTCCAGGTGAGGTTTGAGGCTGGAGGGAGGCGGTGGAACAGAGTGAGCCGGGAGAGGAGGCTCCAGGAAGCTTGACAGCAAATTTGGACTTGCCTTTTTATAATGACCATGAAATACTGCCTGTCGCTCAATGAGATGGTATATGTGTTTTGAATACTTGAAATGAAAAAAAACAGAACATACACTTGTTCAGCGTTAACTTCTGGGAGGTGTCAGCATTTTGTGTCGGAGAGGGGAAAGTGACATGGAGTTACTTTTGGCAAATGGATCTTGAAAAGTGAGTCCCACTGTAAGAAGTTTGAGAACCACTGACCTAAGTTTTCTGGTTCTATTTTTATGAATGTCGGAAAGGTCTTTGAGGGGCTTCGGTCAAAAAGTGGGATGCGAATCTAAAAGGCAAATGAACGTGTAGCACCTTCACCAAACTACCATTTCCTAGATTACTTAGGAGCAGCAATTTATTTATTTATTTAAAAACATTTATTAGCCACCTTTCTCCCTTTGCAGAACTGAGTAGCTTACAATATACATAAGACTTAAAAAAAAACACCCCGCAATAAGAACAACATTGATAAAACCATAGAGTCACAATTTAAAAACTCCAATTAGGATTGTCGGTAATAAAAGCTAAATTAATCAAATGCAGTCCTAAATAAAACTGTCTCCCGAAGATCAACAATGAAGGAGCCAGGAGCACCTCGCTGGGGAGGTTGTTCCATAATTGTGGGGGCAGTCCCCAAAAAGGCGCCCAACAGGTGCCCCACCAAACAAGCCTCTTGTGGGACTTCATGCTGTGTGTCTTTATGCTTTATGGGACAGCCAGGAGGGCATCTCCCTGCACTCTTAGTTCATGGGCAGGAACTAGGGTTGCCAGGTCCCCTCTTCCTTCTGACAGGCGGATTTGGGGGGCATTCTGGGGGGTGGGCGAAGATGTCGTGTAATGTCCCCGATGTGATGACATCATGCGGAAGTGATGGCATCATGTTGGGACCGTAGCACAGGGGACACTCTGGTGTTTGGATGAAACTCTATGGTTTTTTGCCCTCAAACCGTAGAGTTTGCCCAAATACCAGAGCATCCCCACACAACAACGTCACTTCTGGGTGATGTTATCACGTCAGGGGGGGTTGCATGGCAACGTCCCTGTTTAGGGACATGGTTTCCCCCACTGGCCAGCTGGTCTGCGGTGGGGAGAAGCCCCTGAAATTGGGGGATCCCCTGCCCGGACCAGGGGGCTTGCAAGCCTAGCAGGAACATATGGGAGAGGATGGTTGTTCAGATACCCCAGTCCCAAGTCATATGGGATTGAATGGTCAAAACCAACACCTTGAATTGGGCTGGGGAGCAGATTGGTAACCAGTGTGATTGATGTAACAAACCTGCCCTGGGTCTGTGTGTTCTCACCTGCATGTTGCGTGTTTGTCTGCATGTAAAAGCTGTTGGAAATGTATGTGTTTACAAGGTCTGATGATTCAGTCATTATGGGGTTAACTTGTATTCCTAGTTTGCTATTGTTTAGACTGACCTGGAAGGGATACCTGGCACTGAGCCAATGGGGGATTAGCCCGGGAAAAGTAACTTCTACTTTGATGCAGATTGGTCATTTGTTTCAGGTGACTTCCTTTCTAGGGGTCAAGAAGAAGGAGAGAATTCTCCATTATGTGTGTGCTTGTCTTGTCTGTAGGAAGCTTAGAAATGTAGCTCTTAGTATCATGTTAATTTGTAGAAATCCCGTGAACCCTTTACCCTTAGTAATAAAGTATTTTTAAAGGGCAAAGAACTCTCTTCTTTCCAATAGAGCAAGATCCATCAAATAGTCTATTAAACAATTATTGACTATTTTACAACAAATTGGTAGCATAGGGCGGTTTAAATGCTCATTAGAGAGAAAGAGAGAGAGAGAGAGCTGAGCCAGCACAGAGGCTTATTTTAAAAGTGAACTATTTTTCCTGCAAAGTTTTTTTTCTACTTTTTGCCAAACAAAGCTGTAATCAGACAAGGTGGGCCACTTTAATTCTCAGTGATTGGAAGAACCTATCTTATGCTGGTTTGCATTTTGGAAAGCAGCTGAAAGAAAGCTTTTTGAATTTTTTTTTACGGAGGGACGGAACAAAGAGAGCTGATTACTTCACCGGTCCCAGCTGAAAAGCCTGAGAAAGGATTAACCCTGTGAGTCCCTGCCTATGAGTGAGGAAGAACCTTCCACATCCAAAGCTGGAACCTCAACTCCTGCACCCAGAGAAACACCAGCCAAACTTGTGAGTACAAGACAAGACTTCAGAGCCTCAGCTCTGTTAAACAGCATGCAATTGCCACACCCAAACACACCCCACTCCCAGTGATAGGCTATTTACATAACATTACTACTCGATTGGTTACTTTCAGAATCCTGGTAGGCTATTGTTCTTGTGCTTCAACCTCAGCCATTCTCTGGAGTGATTCAATCAGGAATGATTCAGTCCCAGTACATAACACCCAGAGACCCTCTGTCCTGTCCGTATTAAGTTTCATCTTGCTCATCCTCATCCAGCCCATTACTGACTCCAAGCACTGATTCAGAACATCAACAGCATCTTCCGAATTAGGGGCAAAAGAAAGGTAGAGTTGGGCACAGCCCTGTAGCTAGGGATTTTTTTGTGAGGGGCCCTTTGGGGCCCCTGCCAGCTAATTAAATCAGGGGGAAGTTTCCCTCCCTCCCCAAGGAGCCCCAGTGCAGCTTCCTGCTTCGCCACACCAGGGGCAGCCTGACCTCCACCCTCGGCTCCCTCCCGGGGTTGGGAGAGGAGAGGCGTGCAGTAGCTGGGCTGGCCACAAAGGTGCATCATGTGGGCGCATTGGAGCACAGGAGCACAGCTGGGCACACCTGGCCAGGGCCAGACAAGGCGCCTGCTTGCTTCCTTGCCTTGCCT